AAATTAACAACTTTACAACACAAAATAATTTTTATTAAAACATCATCTAATTAAATATTTTTATTTTTTATTTCTTAGATCGTAAGTGTTATATTATAAATTAACTTTTACAACACAAAATAATTTTTATTAAAACATCATCTAACTAAATAAATTTATTTTTGTTTCTTTATAATAACCAGGCAGTAAGTATAATATTATTATATCATAAGTTTACAACCCAAATGATTTTATTATACATCAATTAAATTTTTTTTTTTATTTTTTTTTTTTTATAACAACATCCATCATCTAATTAAATAATTTTATTTTTTTATAATAACCAGGAAGTAAATATAATATACTAGTGGCATTAAAAAACTACATAATTCACAGAATATTTCTGATGAATTTCTTATCATATTATAAGTTTACAACACATGATCCTTATTAAAACATTAACTAAACAATTTTATTTTTATCTTTTATAACAACTAGATTATGGAGATTTACATAATCATTTATCAAAAAATTTCATCAACCATCATCCGAATAATAATACTTTTAACAATAATTCTAATAATCATGATAATCATGACTTTGTTCCAAATTGTAATTACGTCAATCACATCGATCAAACTGCAGGCAACCACTACAATAATTCAATTCATCAAAATCCAGGGGATAATAACTCTGTCAGAAATAATAATAATTATTTTGGTGATGGTAATTTTGTTCATATTGCCAACCAAAACTCGGAGATTATTAATAATGTTCTCATTAAACAGAACAATGCTATTAACCCAAGTGGCATAATCAACCATAATAATGATTATATCATTGACCAGTATCCAACTATTGCTGCTACAAGCATTAATCATCTGAACAAATTTTTTGACAGTGATTTTATTGCTTATCAAAATCCCGTCAGCTTCAATTATTTTATCAACAAACAACTACTTATTAATATAGTATCACTTCAGAATCTCCAAAACGAAAAAATTACTTGGAAAGATAAAATTATGTCACTTTTTTGGATTTATTATGAGTAAATTTTTAAATAATAATAATTATTATTTTATTAAAATAATTAAGATATTATATTAATTTATTTATTTATTATTAATGTAAATTTAGAATAAATTATTTGCTGAAAATCTCCATAATCTAGAACAGAACAAATGAAAATTATAAAAAATAATGATTTTTTTTTTTTTAATATGTTATTATTGTCATTTTTTACTTTATATTTTTATTATTACTGTTTTATTAAATTTGAGCCAAGTATAAATTCGGACTGCAAGTTCGGAGCTTTATCCTCTATCAATATATTGACCAATTGCACATGCTGTGCCCACAGTAA